TTTGGGGTGGAGTTTCGCTCTTGTTACCCAGGCTGGAGTGCAATGGCGCGATCTCGGCTCACCGCAACCTCCGCCTCCTGGGTTCAGGCAATTCTCCTGCCTCAGCCTCCTGAGTAGCTGGGACTACAGGCACGTGCCACCATGCCCAGCTAATTTTTTGTAGTTTTAGTAGAGACGGGGTTTCACCGTGTTGACCAGGATGGTCTCGATCTCTTGACCTCGTGATCCACCCGCCTCGGCCTCCCAAAGTGCTGGGATTACAGGCTTGAGCCACCGCGCCCGGCTCAAGATGGATTCTTGCTCTGTCACCCAGGCTGAAGTGCAGTGGTGCGATCTCGGCTCACTGCAACCTACACCTCCCAGTTTCAAGCAAGTTTCCTGCCTCAGCCTTCAGGGTAGCTGGGACTACAGGCACCCACCACCACGCCCAGCTAATTTTTGTATTTTTAGTAGACAGGGTTTCACCATGTTGCAAGGCTGGTCTGGAATTCCTGACCTCAAGATCCGCCTGCCTCAGCTTCCCAAAGTGCTAGGATTACAGGCGTTAAGTTAACAAGCCCAGCTCATTTTTGTATTTTTAATAGAGATGGGGTTTCACTATGTTGGCCACACTGGTTTTCATAATAAATTTAAAAATATATATTTATTATTATTTTTTGAGATAGGGTTTTGCTCTTGTTGCCCAGGCTGGAGTGCAGTGGTGCAGTCTCAGCTCACTGCAACCTCTGCCTTCTGGGTTCAAGTGATTCTCCTGCCTCAGCCTCCCAAGTAGCTGGGATTACAGGCACCTGCCACCACACCCAGCTAATTTTTGTATTTTTAGTAGAGACGGGATTTCGCTATGTTGGCCAGGCTGTTCACGAACTCCTGACCTCAGGTGATCCGTCCGCCTCTGCCTCCCAAAGTGTTGGGATTACAGGCGTGAGCCACCACACCTGGCCAATATACATATTTTTATAGTCTTTTTTTTTTTTTTTTTTTTTTTTTTTTTTTTTTATAAAGACGGGGTTTCACCATGTTGGTCAGGCTGGTCTTGAGCTCCCGACCTCAGGTGATCCACCCGCCTTGGCCTCCAAAGTGCTTGGATTACACTTTGGATTACACTCCAAAGTGCTTGGATTAAAAAGGCCTATAGTCTTTTTAAATTTAATAATATTTATTTTCCAATGTCACTGTTTACAAGTATCATAGCAGCAACATTCTTTCTTTTTTTGTTCATTTGCCTAGAAATCGTTCAAAATGGCCATTGCTGACCAGGCAGCTCATATTTATAATCCCAGAACTTTGGGAGGTCAAGGTAGGAGGACTGCTTGAGCTCAGGAGTTTGAGACCAGCCTGGGCAACATGGCAAAACCCCATCTCTACAAAAAAGACAAAAATTAGCTGGGCATTGTGGCACATACCTATGGTCCCACCTACTAGAGAGACTGAGTTGGGGGAATTGCTTGAGCCCAGCAGGAGGCCAAGGCTGCAGTCAGCTGTGAACACACCACTGCACTCCAGCCTAGGCAACAAAGTGAGACCTTGTCTCAAAAAAAAAAAAAAAAAAAAAAAAAGAAATTCCCATTGTCAACCATATTTCAAGTCGTCATGGTGAGGTATGGGGAATAGTTCTCAATTAGCAATGATTGTGTCTTGGATAAACCTCATTGGCTATGATAGTGCCACTGCAGAGCTGCAACTTTCAAAGCGTTACTTCAGACAGAAAATAAATACAGCATGGAACTTAGCAGAAAGAGCTTATATCTTACCAAAAGTCCTAGAACTTTCTGCTGAATGGATGACTCAGTTGGGAAAGACTGTAAAAAGAAAGAGAAACCTTTAATTACCTAAGGAACCAAATATAAAATGAATGCTAAAATAAGTAAATTAATAAATATCAAAACTGTAAGCTAAATTCCCATTCTAACCTCTAGAACCCTCATGAAGAGTTCTAACCCTTGGTTTTCAATAAAGTGTCTACAAGTGGTTGGGGATTCATCTGTGAGGTTCCAAAGTGCACTCAAAGTAAATTTCAACGTAGTGTCCACTGAATTCTGATTGGTCTTCTGCTTCACTATTTGAAGAAGTTGCTGAAAAAAGAAAACAGAATTCAGTTTTCATTTTGGAACTGTTATTACAATTTGTGGTTATTAATAAGCACAAGTCCATGAGGATTAGTCGGATTAGTCTCATGGCTTAAAGCATTTTCTGTAAAGATGTTTAACAACCCCCTGGACTGAACTTTTCTTCAAGAAAAAAGTATAAAATTTTCATAAATACTTCTATATTATTCTAATCATACCTACAATGTAATCACCCATAAATAACACTTAAAAGCAAAATGATTAAAACTTGGGTCAACTATCTTACCCATTTAGTCACAGTATATACTTATTTTAGATTCTAGAATTAAAAAGGAAAAGGAAGAGAAGGGCAAACGAAGTTAACATTTATTAAGGATTAGCAAACTATACTCTATATTGTAGTACTATTATTCCCATTTTTCAGAAGAGAAAATTGAGTCTGAGAAATATTAACTAATTTGATCATAGTCAATTTAGACAGAGAAAGTAAGAATGGAAAGACCTAATCTACCCAACTCCAAGTTTTCCTTAAGAAAAAAAAAAGGAAAAAAAGAAAAAAAAAGGAAAAAACTATATACAATGAAAGAATTAAAGACTATATTGACTATAAATAAGATAATAGCCCCTCCCTCCTCAGCCTTCCCTGAGGGCAGATGCTGCAGTGCCTCTGTCTTGCTTTTTCTTATTTTTCCGTTTCCCCTTCTCTTTTTATTTCCTTTTTCCCTTCCTGCCTTTCAAAAACAAGAAGATAATAGCTTTGAAATTCCAGTTGTAAATTAGTTCTATCATAGCTTTACCCTAAAAAATTGATGTTTGAAAAGTGATTTTAAAACTACATAAGGCATCCGTAATTCCATTTTTAGATTATACTTCTGGACGTAAAAAAGGAAGCTCTGCTAAAACGGATGTAAGAAAACATTAATGAATATATTACTAAAGGTAATATATTCGAAGAAAACCATGCAGGTACAGTTAGGTACGTTGACAGCATAGTAGCTAAGAGTGTGGCACTAGAAGAAAGCTACCTGAGCTTAAATATAATCTCTATATCTGACTAACGGCACAACCTGGTTTACCAGTTTAATTCTTTGTTTCCTCATCTACAGATTGTAGGTGGCAATTAAAATCAGGGAAAAAAATCCAGCTATAATAATCATCATCACTATTACTACTAATTCCTTCTTTAAGCTTGATTTCCTCCCAAAGCATGTAAGTAGATTTTCTTTAAAATCTTCCGGCCGGGGCCGGGCGCGGTGGCTCACGCCTGTAATCCCAGCACTTTGGGAGGCCGAGATGGGTGGATCACGAGGTCAAGAGATCGAGACCATCCTGGTTAACACGGTGAAACCCCGTCTCTACTAAAAATACAAAAAATTAGCTAGGCATGGTGGCGCGTGCCTGTAATCCCAGCTACTCAGGAGGCTGAGGCAGGGGAATTGCCTGAACCCAGGAGGCGGAGGTTGCGGTGAGCCGAGATCGCGCCATTGCACTCCAGCCTGGGTAACAAGAGCGAAACTCCGTCTCAAAAAAAAAAAAAAAAAAAAAAAAAAATCTTTCAATATACCAAAATTAGAGAGATATATATATAGCAAAAAGAGGCCATTTAAAAAAACTGTCACTCCTGAAAACAGTAAAAATAAACAAAAAAGTATCTTTTTTTTACTTATCTAATATATTTAGTGTTAGATACTTAGCATATACCTGAATTAAACATTTTTCTTTTCTTAAATTTTTTTATTTTTATTTTATTTTTTAAAGATGGGGTTTCACCATGATGGCCAGGCTGGTCTTCAACTCCTGACCTCAGGTGATCCACCCACCTCGGCCTCCCAAAGTGCTAGGATTACGGGCGTGAGCCACCGTGCCAGGCCCATTTTTCTTTTTTTTTTTGACATGGGATCTCATTCTATCACTCAGACTGGAGTGCAGTGACACAATTATAGTTTACTGCAGACTTGCACTCCTAAGCTCAACTGATCCTCTTGCTTCAACCTCCTGAGTAGCTGAGACTACAGGTGTGTCCACCATGCCTGGTAAATTTTTTTTTTTTTTTTTTGGAGTAGAGCCAGAATCTCGCTATATTGACCATGCTGGTCTCAAAATCCTGGCTGTAGGTGAACCTCCCACCTCAGCCTCCCAAAGTGCTGGGATTATAAGCATGAGCTTTTTTTCTTTTCATTTAGTTTTTATAATAATTGTATCAAGTAGTTTTTAATCACCCCTAAGAAAACTGTGATTTGCCCAAAATACATGGCTATTTTTTTTTTTTTTTTTTTTTTGAGACGGAGTTTCGCTCTTGTTACCCAGGCTGGAGTGCAATGGTGTGATCTTGGCTCACGACAACCTCCACCTCCTGGGTTCAGGCAATTCTCCTGCCTCAGCCTCCCGAGTAGCTGGGACTACAGGCGTGTGCCACCATGCCCAGCTAATTTTTATATTTTTAGTAAAGACGGGGTTTCACCATGTTGACCAGGATGGTCTCGATCTCTTGACCTCGTGATCCACCCGCCTCGGCCTCCCAAAGTGCTGGGATTATAGGCGTGAGCCACCACGCCCGGCCCACGTGGCTATTAAAGAGACAGAAATAAGAATAAATCCAGACATGTCAACTCCAGAATTCCTACTCTTTCCACTATTCCTAAACAGCCTTCTCTCTCTTTATAACATTATTATTTCATTCATATCTCTATTATTGTACTTTTTAGATTCTGTTACAACCATACCTACATAGCTATTTTTTTCTATTGTACTGTTTGTTATCGGTAGAATTTATGGATATAATCCAGTGTGAATTATAATTACATAATTATAATTCAGTGTGAATTCCCTAACATTTAGTAAGGTAGCAAGTGTCATTCATTTGATATCATGGGTACTCTATACATATATATCAAATGAATGGCTTACTTTCTCGTTACATACATAATTTGTAAGTCATGGAAAAAAGGGGTCTCTTATTTGACTTTTCCATGCAGTATTATTATTCAAACACCTCATTCTAGGATTTTAACAGGCATGTTTAAATATACTTTTTGCCTAAATCTTCCCTAAGACATTGTTTATATCTGCTCCCTTTAAAGCTTTTTTTTTTTTGAGACGGAGTTTCACTGTTGTTGCCCAGACTGGAGTGCAATGGCACAATCTCGGCTCACCGCAACCTCCGCCTCTTGGGTTCAAGCAATTCTCCTGCCTCAGCCTCCCGAGTAGCTGGGACTACAGGCACGCACCATCATGCCCAGCTAATTTTTGTATTTTTAGTAGAGACGAGGTTTCACCTTGATGACCAGGGTGGTCTCGATCTCTTGACCTCATGATCCACCCACCTCAGCCTCCCAAAGTGCTGGGATTATAGGCGTGAGCCACCGCGCCCGGCCAAAGCTTTTTAAACTTTTCATGGTTTACTAGTCTTATTTCCTCAACTGATTATAAGCAAGCAAAATTATATATCAGATATTTAAATTATCTGTTTCCCAAAGTATACAGCACAACCTTATACCTGTAATAGAGTCTCTACATTTTCCATATAAATAATAAAAATCACAGAGATTTGGGGTTTTTTTTGGAGACGGGGTCTTGCTCTGTCACCCCGGCTGGAGTGCAGTGGTGTCATCATGGCTAATTGTAACCTAGACCACTTGGGCTCAAGCAATTCTTCCATCTCAGCCTCCTGAGAAGCTGGGACCATAGACATCTGCTACCATGACTGGCTAATTTTTAAATGATTTGTATAGATGGGGTCTCACTATATTGCCCAGGCTGGTCTCAAACTCCTGGGTTCAAGCAATCCTCCTGCCTTGGCCTCCCAAAGTGCTGGGATTACAGGCATAACCACTGTGCCTGGCCTTACATATGATCTTAATACTTATGTAGACCCTATTGGTGCAAGTAATTTTCTCAAATTCACGAAGTGAGTTTACAACCTAGATCCTAGGTCATCTGACTCCTAGTTCAGGGCTTTTTCCGTCTCTGTTAAGGAGCAAAGTTGCATATATGAAAATAAATATACTTCTTTAGAAGTAACAAAAAAAAAAAAATTTTTTTTTTTTTTTGAGAAAGGGTCTCACTCTATCACCCAGGCTGGAGTGCAGTGACACGATCACGGCTCACTGCAGCCTTGACGTCCTGGGCTCAAGTGATTTTCCCACCTCAGCCTCCTGAGTAGTTGGAACCACAGGTATGTGCTGCAATGTCCAATTTTTTTTTTTTTTTTTTTTTTTT